ACTGGTTCCCAGAGGTATACAAAAATGGTAAGAGTGTGCAAGCCGCTTAGACATTTTGATGATTATATTATATAAATCATGTTGGAAATAAAATAAATGACTGGGCAAGCACAAGTCCAAAAGGCATGAGCAGTGCCCTGTCTCTGGAACCGTAATGAACTTGGCCAAAGACAAATGGATGGGGAACTAGAATGCTAACACAAAAATCTTTAAAATGTGCACATTCAGGTAAGGTGCAATGGGAAGCTTCCATGGACTTTAAGGCATGTTAATTTATTGCTGTGTGTTTTGGGGATGAGGGACTTATGCCTACAATTGTGTTGCTAAATGGTGTGTTTCTATCTAATGACTGCATAGGTTGAACAGACCATATATTGGTCACAGTAGAATAAAATGCTGTGTGATGCAGTCATGCAATTTCTCCTCTTCAGTATTGGGTGACTTTTGGATGTCTGAAACAGGGTCAGCAAAAAAGTAGGACAACTGCTGTAAAAGATATAGCATATTGTCTATTGTCATATTGTTGAAACTCTATCGTAAGAGCCTATAAATCCTAGCCAGTATGACATGAAGTGGAATTACAAGTTTCAATAGAAGATATGAGCTAAGCAGGCACATTTCAAGTGAACATCTTCATAAGGATGACAAATCCACACAAATTTTACACCAGCTACAGTTGTTGTTCCCAACACCTTCAGAATGACACAAGTAGAAAGCAGGAGCATCCAAGGTCACTAAACTGAAGATACCTTTAGCAGAAGAAATAAGCTGAGTAAATAACTAAATAAAATAAATACTTTCTGGAAATGAATATACAAAACTCACTTAAATTTAGCCTTGCTACAATCAGAAAAGAAAACCCATCAAGGTCACTGCCTGACACTGATAATAATTCATTTCTAACAATAAATAAGACAGCTAAATCTTGAACAGGAAAAAGTTCAAAGTACTATATTTGTATAGTCTATTCTTGCATTCTCTTTTATTAGGGCAAGCATATTTTTGAGTTCATGAAATAAGTCTTGACTTGCTGCCATTTGTGATGGTTCCCTTTGTGTTGTGCCACAGCATGAAGCAAAGAAGCACACTCGCTCCATGGCTGGACGGTGATGTTGCACTGCAACCTGGACAGGTAACACCCCTGGAGGTAATCAGCAGATCTCATAAAGGTACTTGTATGTCTCCTTCTCCCCCCCCTCTCTGTGAAACTAATAAAACACTACTCGTCCACCCATCTCCGATGGAGGTGCTTCAGGGAAAAATGGTCACCTCCCATATTTGTGTCATTTTCACATTCTTCAGTACAACTGTGCTCATGTTATCTGAAGATCCTGATCATGGATATTCCAGATCACATCTACTTTATTTCTTCAGCAGGATAAAAACAACAAAAAGGGAGATGGAGGGCAAAGGTAAGAAGGGATTGGTGTGAGCAAATGTAGTTGCATGTCCCTAAGCTTCATTTCAGCTAGAGATGAGGCATCAAGTCAACATTGGCAAGATTAAGTAATATCAGAAGAGGAGCCAAGAAGTATCAGCCCCTTTCATCTCTATCAGGCATAACTTGCCCATTTCGTTTACTTTCTATGCAATTGTAAAGTGCTTTTTCCCCAACGCATTTTACTTTTTTTAATATCCCTTGGGTCTATTCTGTGTTCATTTTTCAAACACAGTTTTATAACATTCTCCTTACTGATAATTCAGTCTAACAGAATCTTTTCCTTAATCATGTTGTGAAAAGCTTTAGTGTGCAGCATTCATGGCAAACTATACAATATTTTTGTACATTAATTTGTTCTTTTCACTGGGGAAATATTATGGCTTGTTACTGTTCAAGTTTTCTGAATAGGTTTATTCTCAGTTTTATCCTTTTTATTTAATCACAGCATTGTTACTACTACCTAGGGGCACAACACAGCTAATGTTGAGCACCTTAAAGTCCAACTGATTTCAGTGATGGAGTTAAGCATGTGCTTAAAGCATGGGTAGGCAAACTAAGACCCAGGGGCCGAATCCTGCCCCGGTTGCCTTCTGGATCCAGCCCGTGAATGGTCTGGGAATCGCCATGTGGATCAGATTGTTCGGGCTGCGCCAGCGCGCATGTTCGGCGGTGCCTCCTCCCTTCTCCTGGCTTCTCCCTGCCTTGCCTAGAGCCAAGAGGAAGGGGGCTGGGCTTTATTGGTGCCAACAGCAGCAGCATTAACACTCGAGTGACCACCATTGTAAGCAGGCTCAATTTGGGCTTTGTTCCTGCCAGCCCCTCTCCGGAGCCCTTTCATGCGCCACTTATCGTCCTGCCGCCGTCAGCCCCTGACGCTCGCAAGACACAGGTAAGCAGCCACCAGGGCTCATCCGGTGCTGTGAAGAAGGGAGGGGAGAGTCGGGGTGGGGATGGCTTACCTGAGCAGAATGTGTCCTTTTATTTAAAATGCATCTTTGGGTTATTTGTGGGGCCTGCCTGGTGCTCTTGCATAGAATGCTGTGTCCTTTTATTTAAAATGCATCTCTGGGTTATTTGTGGGAATTCGTTCATTTATTTATTTTTTCAAATTATAGTCTGGCCCCCTACAAGGTCTGAGGGACAGTGGACTGGCCTACTGCTGAAAAAGTTTGCCAACCCCTGGCTTAAAGCTTACCCTCTGAAATACATGAAGATGGCAATCCTATACACACTTACTTAAGAGTAAGTCCCACTAACCTCAATGCAATGTTCACATATTCATTAATACGACTGTGCTGCAAGTGCTTAACTATGTCTAGATTGTTCCCTAGAACAATGACCTAAAATGAAGGTCTTATTTGAGAGGGGTGTGTACATGCTGAATTTAAACCATAAAGCACATTAATATACCTTTGTGGGTAAACTGTTTCTTCGCATATGTACTAAGTTTATAATTCTGAATCCTATTATCTCTCATAGAAATAATCTCTAAATATTGTCTAAGTACATACAGTAGCACAATGGCCCCAATCTTGCTAGCTTCCATTCTAGTCAAGTTGGCTAAATCTTAGAATCCTTCTACCACAGTCAATGGTTGAGACCCATTGGAAAAATGGCTTTTTAATGATTGCAGTCATAGGCAAATGGCACGCACAAGTCCAACTCTTTCATTTAAAACACAGTCTAGGCCAGGGGTCAGCAACCTTTTTCAGCCGTGGGCCAGTCCACCGTTCCTCAGACCATGTGGTGGGCTGGACTGTATTTTGAAAAAAATAATGTACAAATTCCTATGCCCCACAAATAACCCAGAGATGCATTTTAAATAAAAGGAAACATTCTACTCATGTAAAAACACGTTGATTCCCGGACCGTCTGTGAGCCAGATTTAGAAGGTGATTAGGCCAGATCTGGCCCCTGGGCCTTAGGTTGCCTACCCCTGGTCTAGGCCACCATCTCAGCACTGTAGATACTTTGACTTAGATTGTGCCACACAAATGCATAACCTTCCTTAATTGTCTACCCACCAAATGTGGTGGCATTTGAAGACTTATCTACAACAATTTCTCTTGAAATAAACTAGATTTTGCACAAATGGTCATCACAAAAATGGTGTTTGACAATTTATATGAACTCACAATAAGTAAAACAGGAAATTTCCCCATTAGTGGAAGCCCTGTCATATCAGGTTCTCCAACTGCAATAAGAGTTTCTAAGCGTGCTCAGACAAATGCATTTTAAACTCCTCTTCAAACCTTCATGCAAAATTGCACAAAGGTCAGATGACCAGCTATGTGATTGGGGACTCTTGCACATATGCCCCTTCCCCAGCCCTTAGTTTCACTTTTTTTGTATACTCAAGTAAATGCTTGAAAACAACTTTTGTGGTAATCATTTGTGCAAAATCTAGTTTCATTTCAAGAGTGGTTGGTTATCTATGTTGCCTTCAAATGTGACCATATTCGACGGAGTATGGACCAATTCCTGTACCTTTCTAAAAATTTCTGCCCCATCAAGTTTCTGCTTTTTGGGTGGAGAGGGGGGGTAAAGCCAGTTGATAACCGTCTAGGTAAACCTTTCCACCTGGAATCTTGATTGTGTCAGTTTCCTAAATGACTCATTATGAAAGCAAGTAATTTACAGCAGGTCATCCAGTGGTTTTAAAGCCAGGAAATAGCAACTGCCTCCGTGGTATTTTACCAGCGCAATCCGATAAATGTCTATTCAGAAGTAACTCCCACTGAGTAAAGAAAGTAAGGTGAGTTGGTATGGAACTGCAATCTAAGAGTTCTTTTTAGGTGCAGTGTTCTTAATAATAATAATAAGCAAAAGAATAAATTCCACAATGAATAACTTTTAAGTATTGTAGTAATTTCCCAGCTACTGGATCAGTGAGTGGTGCCATCTTCCTTGAAGAGTCTCATCTTTATTTAATAATCCTCCACAAACTACCATGTTATTGTATACAAACTGATGTTGAATAATGTATATTTTATAGTCTACTCAGAACCTACAATAGCAATGGTATCTCAGAAACGCAGGCAAGTTTATTAATGCACCATAAAGCAAACTGCATCAAGAACAAAAATCATATCTGTCTACCACTCCACATATTCAGTGGTTCTTGGCAGCTTACTCTACTATAAAAGAAAATTATGGTCACAGTTTAAAAGCCACATGGATCTTGTTTAAAAGACAGTTATTCTAGCTTAAAATCCACATGTACCTACCCCAAAAGATAACTGTGGGATCCATTACACTGTATAGTTCAAAAATGCAGTTTATACCACAATGAAAAGAGTTAATAATCTATGTAAATAATCATATTCATGAGCAGTAAACCAAAAGGTATTTTAAGTGCCTCAGAATACCTTTCCTGAGTAGTAAATTATGCAAAAATCAATTCTCATAATGTCTGTGCATGCAATAGTTGCCAGATGATAAATCAGACAGTGAATTCCTAACACAGCCCAGCATCTTGTGCAGGCTGAACTTAGGCAACTGTCAAGGAATATTAATAGTGTATACTCATTTTATCAAGTTGTTGGAGAAACAGACCCACCTCGGCAGATGGTCCCATTCCCCACATATCCAGGCTTGCAGGTGCAGCTATGTCCCCTGACTGTGTTAGTACAGATTGCATTCTCATCACAGTTGTGCTGTCCGCTGTCACATTCATCACGTTCTACAAGAAAACAATGCAAGAGAAAGTGAGCAAGGGGAGGGAGGGAAAATAAATTTTCAGCTTGCTGATCTGACATTTGAAAAGCTAGTTATAACTAATGAATGGTTACTACAATGGCTGAACACAGCAGAAGAGACATTAGATGCAGAAGCCTGACATGGACCACTTCCATTTCAGGTTTTGATTCATGGCAGACAGCCTACAAATTTTAGACAGAAAAAAACCCTATATAGTTAAAAAAAAGGATAGAATCAGAATAGAGTAGAACAAAAATGCTATCTAGGGATGAATATGAATATTATCTCTACAGGAGCATGCAGCTTAAATACTAGCTCTGTTATACATTTCTCCCTAGATTTCTGGAGTTATTACCCTCAATACATCCTTTTGCAGAGTATCTGCCCCCTTTTTGTAGTGGATGGATGCTAAAAAGTCAGTAGATTTACCTCCTTTTGAGATACAGGGATTAGAGGCAATTAGAGGTGGTAGGATCAATAAACAGGCATGTAAAAAAAGAATACAAATATAGTGGAAAGGACAGAAAGGCAAGCGGAAAGTTGGAGGTTTCTCTTCCTGCTCCATCAAAAGTTAACTCTTCCTCTTCCCAGCAAGCTGACAATTTGCTTAGACAGGCTGTAGGAATACATGTTTCCTACTGGCTTCAAGCAATCTGAACTGAAGGAGGATTAACTTTGGAAGGGAGAGTAAAGCAGGGAAGGAATAGAAGTCAATATGTGGTGGTGACCAAGTCTCCCAAAAGTCTATTCACCACAACACACTGGCCTTCATTTACAATAGTGAATGGATCAATGGTTTTATTTATATCTGGAAGAAAGTTACAACATGGGTTTCAGAGAGAATCTCTTCTAAGTTCCCCATTTCCCCTGTTATTCAGTTTTCCCTGACTATATACAGTTCTGATTACTTAGTTCACTGCTGAAAAGAAACCATGAGAAGAGGACAGAACTTACCAAAAGCCACATACTTATCAACTCTAATGTTCATATAATGGCCACAACCATTTCAAAGTGAATCTGCAGAACAACTGTATCTCCAAGCTACAGATAGTTATTACTGACTTGCTATTCAGACAAGGGAAGGCTTCCTTTAGAGCATCACATCGCTTCGACTTTGATTTAGAATGTGAATATCCATTTATTATGTGAATGCTGTCAGCATGGTGAGGATCCAGAGAATAGCAGCAGAGGTTTTGGAATATGCGCTATACCAGGACAATAATGAATGGACTAGGCATCCATAGCTTGGGGAAAGAAGATTAAGTGGAGCTAGTAGAACAGGTTTAAAACTGTATATATCAAATGTTTGTCATGAAGAAGATGGAACTTTTCCCCATTGTCATTGTGAGAAAAGCGGGGCACAACTGAATTGAGCACCAGCAGCATGCAAACAGGCTGGCTGTGAGGGAACAAGGTTTGCAATGTGCCAGATGGACTAAGGATCAAACAGCTGTGAGAAATTATGGAACTTTTATCACTAGAGATTATTAAAGAGAGGCCAGAGATGTATCTGCCAAGGATGCTCTAGGTAAGAATTTCAGCACGTTGTAAAGCACTGGAGCAGATGTCTAACGGTATCTCTTCCAAGTGTGTATTACTATTGCTCTATTGATATAGGAAACTTGGAAGAGGGTATTTTGAGATAACAACAGTATTTATTTCCACATCTTTAATGCCAAGCTCCCGCTATAGGCATTCTGCAAATTTTGATTCACCTGAACACTTTAGTGGACACCTTAGCACCAAACTTAGAATCATAGAGTTGGAAGGGATCCCAAGGGCCAGCTAGCCCAATCTCCTGCAACACAGGAATCTCAGCTAAAGCATCCATGACAGAGGGCCATTCAACCTCTGCTTAAAAATCTCCCAAGCCACTGGTTTGGGTCCTACCCTCCAGAAGAGGAGAAAACAAGCTTGCTCCATCATCCAGGTGACAGCCCTGGATGGCTATCATATCTCCTCTCTGTCTTCTCTTTTCCAGGCTAAACTTACCCAGCTCCCTCAACAGTTCCACGTAAGTCTTGGTTTCCTGACCCTTGATCATCTTGGTCACCCTCCTCTGCACATGTTCCAGCTTTTTAAATTGTGGTGCCCAGAACTGGACACAGTACTTCAGGTGTAGTTTGACCAAGGCAGAATAGAGAGGTACTATTACTTCTCTTGATCTGGACACTGCTTCTGTTGATGCAGCCTAGAATAGCATTAGCTTTTTCTTTTTTTACTGCTGCATCACACTGTTGACTCATGGTCTTTAAGGTGCTACTGGAAGGAATTTTTACTGTTGACTCATGTTAAGCTTGTAGTCTACTAAGATCCTTAGGTCTTTTCCACATGTACTTAGTTTAGATTTATGCAGCTAGTTATTGCTGTCTAAGAACAGAACCTTACATTTGCCCCTATTGAAATTCATTTTGTTAATTTTGGTCCAGTTATCCAATCTGTTAAGGTCATATTAAATCCTGATTCTGTCTTCTGCAGTATTAGCTACCCATCCCAGTTTGGTGTCATCTGCAGACAGAATGAGTAGATCATCCAAGTCATTTATAAAGATGTTGAACAACAATGAGCCAGGGACACAGCCCTGCAGCACCCCACTTGCCACATTTTTCCAGGATGATGAAGAACTATTAGTGAGCACTCTTTAGATTCAGTCAGTCAACTAACTACAAATCCACCTAACAGTTACCTTATCCAGCTCACGTTTTACTAGCTTCTCTGCAAGAATATCATGGGTGACTTTGTCAAAAGCCTTACTGAGATCAAGATACACTACATCCACAGCATTCCCCTGATCCACCAAGCTTGTAACTCTATAAAACTTCATCTGCTTCCCTCCCAAGCAGAGGAGCTTGAAGAAATTCTATCATCTGTCAACACAGTGCAAATAGCTTCTGTACAGGTGAAGCTCTCACACTCCCTTTTTATATTCTTAAAGGGATAAGATTGGAGAACCAGTGACATGCATGTGTCTGCCATGGCACTGTAGTATGCGTCAAATGCAGGATAGCATTATAAAAACTTCTCTTGTGGTTGTCTGATTCTCTTAATCCAAAATGAGTACTGGGTCTTTAAGGCAATGGAAAAAAGACAAGAGCAACATCTTCAGTACCATAGCATGGGGCCTGAATGTGCAATAACACAGCTTTCACCATTCCTGCTGCTTATTCACCCCTTGCCTCTGACACAGTCAAGGCCAGAAGACACTGAACAATCACATAGCAAAGCAGGTGAAAGGAAGCAGCAGAAGCATTGCAAAATTACATGGAGGGTGGTGGCACAACTGAATAGTAATTTGTGAGCTTCACATTTATTTTTGAAAGCATCACATTTTGTGCTTTGATGCAGCTGTCAAAGACCACACAAAATATGTGAACTTTTCTTATTTACGACAGATGTTCATCCATTCATAAAAATGGAAGCTCATTGAAATAATGACTAATAAATGCTTAAATTCTAATCTTAAATGCTTCCCTACGAGAAACTAACATTTACATTAATTAAGTTTACTTATAAGAAATTGCTGTAGATTATTGTCAAAGTTAATATGATAGCTGTGGCAAAGCATGATGTAATTTATAGATTTTCTGTGTGTTTAGATACATTTAAAGGGACGTGGGTGGCGCTGTGGGTTAAACCACAGAGCCTAGGACTTGCCGATCAGAAGGTCAGTAGTTCGAATCCCTACAATGGGGTGAGCTCCCGTTGCTCAGTCCCTGCTCCTGCCAACCTAGCAGTTTGAAAGCATGTCAAAGTGCAAGTAGATAAATAGGTACTGCTCCAGCGGGAAGGTAAACAGTGTTTCTGTGCGCTGCTCTGGTCACGACTGGACCTAATGGTCAGGGGTACCTTTACCTTTACTAAAGAAACTATTCTCATCCCATTCTAATTCCATTGTCTGTATCAGACAAATTTTCATATGAAAGCCTTAAAGATTATTTTAAGAATGTACAGTTACAAAGAAAGAGATGTAGCCTTGAAAATTGGATAATTCTACTAAATCTCTCAGTAGTGGTCTACAGATTAATTAGTAACTGCAAGGTGTTTTGATCTTTTCATATAGAAGGCAGTACAGGAGATCAAAGTAGCAAAGTAGTTATCAAGTAACTGGTGAACTGCACTCTGCTTTTTAATTCCAGCTATAGCATTTGAAAACAGGAAGATTTTTGCTCACCTTACCATCGACCTTGCTGAACAGCAAGAGATACAGTGCTTTTACTGAGGGTAGATATACATGAAAAGAGAAACTGGCTTTTCACAATGGAGGGAAATAACCAAATGAACTCTGTTGTGCTCTGTACTAATTCATATATTCATAAGAGATCTGAATACTGAGATGTACAATGAGGTATCCATGTTCAAGGATAAGAACTCAGAATGGGGATTTTTTTACATATTCAATTCTGCATACAATTGAGCATGTGGGAGAGAAATCGTATCAAGTGGCCCTTAGTAGAAGGTACACAAGGGACTTCTATATTATTGCTATCACTACTGCTACCATTATTACTACTGTATTGGCCCGAATATAAGCCGCACCTTTAAAGTTCAAGGGGGGGGGAGAGAGACAATACCCGAATATAAGCCGCTCCCTTAAAATTCCACAGGCACTCACACCTGTTCCATTTACCGTATGTCTGTTTCAGCAACGATATCGTAAAAGCCCATTTTTGTAAGGTCACGAATTTAAGCCACACTTTAATTTTTCATGGTCAGAATGGGGGGGGGGGAGTGAGGCTAATATTCAGGCCAATGCGGTATGTCACTCTCCTCACAAAAGTGACCCACAAAAGCAAACTTACATTAAGACCAATTAAAATGAACAGAGTCAGTAAAACACACACCCCATCAGAGGCAGGAGAGGAGCAGCCAGTTAGTAAAACTTAAAACCAACTTGCAGCCCTGCTTTTGCTGCTGCTCCCCGTAAAAGAAAGAGGAGGGCCATCCCTGGATAACCCACCCACATCCCTGGAACATCGCTGGAGG